TGGGTGGCAGGACCGGACCCCACTGCGCCCCCCCAGCCCCGGGAACTGAGTCCGCCCATGCCACTAGCGGTACCGCTGCTCTCCTGCCTGCCGCTCTGGGCAAAACGGACAGCTGCTGTGGGCCCCTATAAATGATGGGGCCCAGGGCAGTTGCCCCTTTTGTCCTGTGGTAAAAACAATACTGAGACTGGGGAAAAAATTAATGTTCTTAGTGTAATTTCTCTTCTGGTTGAATGTCCTTCAATAGGTGAATCAGAAAGATACCACATTATGGGCACTAGATGGAGCTGGGGATCATAAAAAATAAATATGTTAGTAAGGAGATGCATTTGAGGGAATTTATCAAATCTGGGGCAAACAGAATCTGGAGCAGTTGCCCATGGCAACCAATCAGCATCTCTCTTCAGTTTGCTCAGGTAAGATTTGAAAATGAGAGAGAGATGCTGATTGGCTGCAGTGCAAATCTGCTCCAGTTTTGATAAAATCCCCCCAATGAGTGTATCAATGTAACCATTGCTATCCTCATAGTGTCCTCCATATGTGCCCAATCTGGCGTGCATGCATGTGGTCAATATACTCTTAGGGGTTTTTAAAGGAGCTTTCACGCGGGCTGATCAGGAGAGGATCCGTGCACAGATCCTCTCCTGATCGCAGCAGTACGGATCAGATGTCACCGCTGTGACATACATGTCCATGCAGTTTTTTTTATTCCATCTTGTAATGGAAGAAAGACCTAAAACTGCTGGACCCCATGCTGGTCTATGGGTAGTTGGATATAAATGTTCCTCCAGACCTGGCTGAAGTCAGGGGTAACAGGGTGTAAACAGACACCCATCCGGCTGACTTGCATTGGGCATCCGATTGGACCGTGCCTGTGAAAAGGGCCTTAGGGCTTGTTCACATTAATGGTATCTTTCAGCAACCGATCAACATCAGTCACCACTATTTGTTTTTTTATGCATCCTGTGACACCGCAACGCAGGTGTGATGTGTGGCGCAGAAACATTCTGCGTTCTTTAGTAGCGCTCTGGACATCAACGTAGGTCACCACACCGCCATACACTGCGCTGCTGCTGTGTAGAGACCTGAATGCAGTGTACACTCAGGCCCTGTTCGCATTATTGCATTGAAGGAATGGCACTTGGGGTGTCTGAATGCATTGCCTGGCGGCCATTGCAGTGCCGCACAAAGTGTGATGCCGCAACACCGTGCATTGATGAAAGACGCCATTCACCACTTAAGGAGTCCTATAACCATAGTGCATAAGCCCTAGAGACCTGATTATTGGCAGATGTATCGCTACACCCCTATGCGGGCTGTTTATATTCAGCAGAGCTGATGTATGTAGGAGGGGATGGGAACACTTTCAAAGTGAGGCCGAGCCGGTGTTCCCACATCACCAGATAGAGCATAAAAGCGTCCTGATGAACACCAGAGCCCTGGCCTGGGAGCAGACAAGTGTCCTGATGAGCTCATGAACACCAGCGCCCCGGCCTATGAGCAGACAAGTGTCCTGATGAGCTAATGAACACCAGCGCCTATGAGCAGACAAGTGTCCTGATGAGCTCATGAACACCAGCGCCCTGGCCTATGAGCAGACAAGTGTCCTGATGAGCTCATGAACACCAGCGCCCCGGCCTGGGAGCAGTAAAGTGTCCTGATGAGCTCATGAACACCACAACCCCGGCCTGGCAAAGGGTTTCCGTTTTTTTGTCACTTGTTGCACTCCGCTTATTTACGGGTAACCTGACACTGACAGCTCTTCCTCCACTTTGACACTTTCACCTCACGTGTCGCCCGCCCCTCTCCGGGACTTTAATAGAATCCTAATGACGTCACCGCTGCCGAAAAGGTCCGGCCCCCCCTCAGTCACGAGTCACACGGCCTCTGCTCTGATATCCCTCCGCCGCGTTGGCCGTCTGTTCTCATAGTAGGACGCCAGCTGATTCCAGCAAGGAAGCCGGGGATTGTTAGACTGGACCTTATGGGGTACACCTGAGGGGGCGAAGGGCTGTCGCGGGGGGCCTGGAGGGAGAATACGCGAGGGACTACTTTGTGTCTTCGGCGGAAGGAGAAGGACGGAAGAGGGAAGCGCTGCGATGCAAGATGGCGGCGCCCTGAGGAGCTGTGAGGTAAACAGCTTGTGTGCTGGGGAGCGGAGAAACAGAGTTGTCCTGGCGGAGCGGCGGGGTCTGGGGTCCGCTGCAAGGAACTGAAGGAGAGAGGTCAGCCTGGGGAGGCATGGGGCCATCTCTCCGGGAAGCCATGGTTCATCAGATGATTTGGTGGGGGGGGGCGGGTGACAACCAGGGAAGAGGGACTCAGCGTTGTTTTACAGGGGGTCACAAAGAGGCTCAGTGCTGGCTTTGCAGGGCGCATTGCAGAAGTGGTTTTAAAAAGCTGTAGTTAAAGAGAACCTGTCACGAATGGATTTGCACATAAAGTGATAATTCATAAGAAGTTCATCTAGTTGTTGATATGGTGATTATTCAGTGCTGAAGGCTTTGTTCAGCAGGAGTGTCTCTACCCTTCTCTAATCAGCTCAGCTGAGCTGGGGGTGGTGGTAGGACTGACCCATATGTAATGGCTTTTCTCTGGGATGGTGTTATCCCCCTATAACTCATCTAAATCTGGGATCACGTGACTCCAGTCTTGGCCCCCCTCTCTTCTGGGGTCCTTTTAGGTGTTCATGTTGCTTCCTGTGTCATGTGAGGCTTCTTATTGACTAGCCAGTGGCGGGCTGAATGAGAAGTCACTCAGTCCGCCCTCCATACAGTTTAATTGACCTCTGCCACTTGTTGTATTGTGAAAGCCGCCACCAGCGCCAGTCACAATATCCAACCAGTGAATGCAGCTGATTGGCTGTCTCTTTTTCCGCTCAACTTCTTGGATTTTTTTGGGGGGGGTTGAAGTTGGTGGTGTTGGCAGGCCCCCCCAAAGTTTGTATATCAACTCATGGTCAGCTCAAAGCTGGGGAGGAATAAGTTAGATGATGATGGACTTTCTCCAGTCAGGGAATGAGGGGGGCGGCTGGGCTCCCTCTGACTTGCTGCAGCTTCTAATGCACAGTGTGAGAAGCTTGCAGTGTGCATTGAAGTCAGAGGAAGCAATTTCAGTATAGGAGAGGAGCCGGTGTTCTGTCAAAAACTCCAACTCGTCGAGATATCCAATGACCTTACTTCCGGTTTAGTTAGAAGTAAGAGGTTTGGCCGAGAAGGCTGTACTGCACGTGCGCCACCTGTGGCATTTCCCTACACAGCAATAAAGTATTATAATGAACTAGGGTCAGACTACTCCAGCACATCATTCATCTGAGTTGCCCCACTCAATATGTGCAGGTAAAATAGGGCCTGCTGCAGTTTTTTCACCTGCTCTGGACCTACACGCTGCGATGTGAACTGGGGCAAAAAATACTATTGGAATACATTGGACGCACTTTTGATCCGGTTTGCAACTGCTCTGCTCCGCGCTTGGTGTGAACAAGACCTCACTCGTCTGTGTGCAAATTGCTGCTTATATTACAGAGTCTGTTATCAAATGTCTGTTTTATTTTTTTTATTCAATAGACTGTCAAAAGGAAGTAAACAGTTTTTGTTCCCCAGTTAACCTACATAAACAGACAAAACTGTCAATATTTGGGTGTCCGCTCTGCCATTAAAACAACATTAGTTCTCCCAGGAACACTTGCACACAGTTGAGGATGCAGGCATTTGGTGTAGCGCTGGATGGAACAATCATACCAGATGGGTGAGAATGATGAACAAGATAACCTGTAGGTTAAAAATCCAATTCTATAACTGAATCAGCTGTGTAGGAGGAATGACACTAGACGAGGGAAGCCATGCTCTACTTACAGGTTGAGGTCTCTAGAGACAGTTCAATGTCAAGACTCTTGTACAATGGCACGCCTGAGCACAGCAACAAGACACAGCCAGGTCTTCCTGCATCAAAATGGTAACTCTTGGTTAGGTATTTCAAGGAAGACGGGTGTTTTCCAGATGTGCGGTCCAAGCTCCTCTGCAGAAGCACAAAGTAACAGGCACTGTTGAGGACTAAATACACAGTGATCATCCAAGGAACTTGATCAGCAGACAAGATGCATCATGCCAACTTCCCATCACAAAAGGAGGCTCGCCTCCACCATGACAGAAATCAGTGGGACCCAGGTACGCCTATCCGCAGTCTGGAGACGTTTGGTCAGAGGTGGTCTTCATGGAAGACTTGCAGCTGAAAAGCCATACCTCCGACATGGAAAACAAGGCCGAGCAACTCGCTTATGCATGAAAACGCAAGAACTGGGGTGCAGAAAAAGGACAGCTGGTGCTCCGGGCCTACCTTTTCCCCGAAAATAAGACCTACCCCAAAAGTAAGACCTAGCACTATTGTTCAAGATTCCTGTAATATAAGACCTACTCCGAAAATAAGACCTAGTTTGGTGGTAGCATGTGAGGGGGAACTTGAAGAGCAGGGGAGATGGTATCAGCCTGCAGGAACCTACTGTATTAAGGGGATGACAAGGCACTTCCTCAGGCCAGCGCAGTGACAGGGAGCACTCCAGTGCCATACTTCACCAACTGATGTCCCCCTAAAGGCACTGCTTAATGTAATGGTACTGTAATGTGCACCGGTAAATCGTACTGAACTGTACCGCGCTGTCCACTGTCTGATATCCCCACTGCTGCACCGCTGGTACCACTGTCCCTGATGGCAAAGGAAGTCGGCGCTGTAGAAAGCAAGGCAGCGGTGACGGAGGGAGCAGAGCCACATTAGCCCATACTTCCTATATAGCGCCAGTTACTGTGATGGGCGGAGTGACACCAGATAACTTTGGATTGTTGAACATTTTGTTGCACATTAAAAAAAAAAAAAAACATCCCCTGAAAATAAGACCTAGTGTGTTTTTTTGGGGGGCAAAAAAAGTGTCTTATTTTCGAGGAAAACACGGTATTAGAGAAGGCAGTTTGTGAAAGTCCAGGAGAGTGTTACGAGCGTTAGTGTCTGCAGACAACGGTGAAACATGGCAGAGGTTCCTTGCAAGTTTTGAGCTACATTTCTGCACTTGAAGTTGGAGATGTGGTCAGAAATAACAGTTGCCTCCATGCTGAAAAGTACAGGCAGATACTTCTCCATCGTGCAGTACCATCAGGGAGACGTCTGATTTGGTCTTAAGTTCATTCTGTAGCAGGACAATGTGCCAAATGTACGACCAAAATCATGAAAAATCTGGATGTGTCCTAAATGCACAGAATAGAGGTGCACCCGGCCTCAGGACACCCCTGCATAGCATTCTGTTTAGGCTTTTCTTTTTCATATCTCCTATAGGTTGAACTTGATGGACATGTCTTTTTTCAACCTGACTAACTATGTAACAACTATCTTTAGCAAAAAGAACAAAGAGTCTTGTGAAGAGATGGCGTGGCCCTCACAGAGACCTGATCTCAACATAATTAATGCTGAACTTAAGGATAACAAAACATTGTGTATATAGTAGTCATGTGTATTATTACTTAAATCTTGTTATGCAACGTTTGTCTTCCAGATTTGTACAGTAATACAGAGTGAAATTGCCTCTATGTTGGAGCTTCCTGTAATAAAGACCAGTCACTGCTGTTCTTTATCTTTGTGCAGGGCGACTGCTCTTGTATCCACTCCCTTTTGTAGTTTTCTGCAGGCAGCCTGTAGTGGGTGGAGCCTACTCGGCCCCTCCCACAGTTCTGCTCTCTGTACAGCATAGTGATGGCACTGCTACTTTTGCATGGCAATATCGGAGTTTGCATTTGATTCTTTCAAAGTGGATTTTATATCCTTTTGTAGCTTTTGAGGAACATATTTGAATTCAGTTTAAGTTTTCTGGGATTACAGGCAAAGACAATAACAGCTGAGACGACTTAAATCCACAGAAGAACTTTGGTTAGTTCTCCTCCAAGATGTTTGGATCAACGTACCTGGCGAGTTCCTGAAACTTTGCAAGTCTCCCTAGAAGAACTGGTGCTGTTTTTTAAGGGCAAAGGGTGGTCACACCAAATATTTATTTGATTTTCTGTTTTGCAGTTTGTAGACTGTTTGTTTTTTATTTTAAAAAACAAACATACCTTCCTGTCATCTCATTACTTTTGGAAGCTTCCTCACTTCGCAGCACTTCAGTCAGGTTTGGGTTACTGACCCTTTGGAGGACGGGGGGGGGGGGGGTACAGGTTTCTTGGAAGGAAAAAAAGCAATAATCTCCTACTTTAAAAGTCAAGCAGATATGTTGTATTTGGTTTTTGTCCCTTGGATTTCTTTATAGGGTTGCTTGGGAAAGTAAAAATAAGTCTTTTGTTCTATTTTAAACTGATGATTCCTGGAAATCTATAGATAGCTGGTGGCTATCGTGTGCAGTGATTACTTTCCCAGGCATTGAATGTTGTCTGCATAGATGAGTATACAGTACACATATCAATTCCCTGCTACTTGTTTTCAGTTATAGGCTGGGTTCACACCTAGGCGTATCGAATATGCGCGTTTCGCGCTAAAAAACCGCGTGACAAACGCGCGTTTCCGAGGGCTACTTGGCTGTATACCAATGGAAACGCGCTACAAAAACACCCCAAAGAAGCTCCTGTACTTTTGGCGTAGAGTGTTTTGTACACGTTCATACGGCCTGTAATACGCCCAGGTGTGAACCATACCCATAGGAAATAATGGGATTTCGGTGTTTGAGCGTTTTGCAGAGTGTTCCAACGCGCTACAAAACGCCCAGGTGTGAACCAGGCCTTAGGGAAAGGCACGCTTTCATCAGCGGTATACTTCCAGGCATTGGTTTTTATAAAGTGGCCGACACCAGCATTGCAAAGTGTGACCCATGGATCCGTTAAAGGCTGCACTGTAATGATGCTTTTTCATTATCCGTTATACAGCCAGATGTCCGAAACAAAAGCTTCAGGAAATAGTGGTGACCGCTACCTACCTATTCAGGGAAAGCAGTTCATATATATGTATTTGATGGGAGTGAGATGGCTGCTGGCTCCAATATTTAATAATTAGTGTAT